GGCAGTGAAGCATCGGTGTTGAACAGTGATGTCATGCTGTCGATGATGATGATGAAGAGACCCTTAAGGTTATTGAACTTAAGGTGTGCCAGGAAATGACAAGTTGTTCATTAAGGTATCGGTCACTTATCAGATGGCTCTTAGTCTGTTTGCCGTGACGAAATCTCTTCGAACCACTTGCAAACCAAAGACGAAGCCCGGCGAAGAGATAAATAGCCATCTAACCAATAACCAATAAACATATTTAAGCCAACAATATTTCTTCATGCATATATACAGGTCGCGATCGTTCAGTGAGGAGCGTGAAGTCACTCTCGTTCTTGATATCTGAACGCGCACGACCAGTCAGTGATTCTACTAACATTTAATTTTAGATGGACCGTTGGGGAAGTCGATGGATTTGAACACAGAGACGTCCATTTCCTATATGCCCTCTACGGATCAGTCAATTGAGACAAGTCTGTTGAAGTTCGCCCTCGTGAATCTAAACCAGAAATCACGAAAAGTATAAACGTGGCCTAAAGGTTAAAGGGCCTCCCACAAATGACAAGATTATCACAGTATGGATGATAACCGAGACACTATCTTCACCGTTTCGAAGATTTACCAGTGGATAACTGAACGTCTGGGGGCGAGATGACTCAGTGTTTAGAGCGCGGATTTACTGACCAGAAGGTCTCTGGTTCAAACCCGACCTCTGCCTCTCGACTTACCCTGTCTAGACTTCGGCAATCTGGCGGTATCCCAGCCATCGTGCTTCCTTCAGGTGGCATGGCAGTTGCGCACTGAAAGGGTGCTACAGCTGGACAATTTTTTAACCGGATGGCTTGGCTTCAAAAGCGCTGTTGTATCTTAGTTAAGCTCGCCAACGATTAGGTAACAAGCAATATGATCAACGGTTTCCCACTATGTGTGCTTTCGCATAAGCAGTCAGACAATTCGAAGGGAGGGTCACAAGCACATGGAATGAAGACACTGTTGCCATACGAGTGCCAGTTAACAGACAAGAGCGGTGAAAAGCTCCGCCATAAATACAGCATAATAAGCTATTCTTTCCTTGCATCATTTCTAAAAGTAACAGTAATTTATCATATTTATCTATGTGCAAGCGTGATTGGCATTCGCGAAGCGTAAGGCGACCATACTACAAACGGTTGTACAATTAGAGTATAAGACGTTAAATCGAACTAGGGTAATCAGTAGCTTATGGTTAGTGTCGTGCAGCAGGGTGACCGACCTTTTGCCTGCGTCAATTCCAATGAGAAGTCTACACCACTTAAAATAGCACTGCACACATCGGTTGAATGATGGTCATTGACATAAATGAATCGAGACCTCGCATATCTGCGCTTCGTCCAGCCGGGTATGCACAACACTTATGCCAACCAAATTGACTTTTGTATCGCAAAAACAACCATACCGTACAATTTCCATGTTGCGTGATCAGATAGTTGTGATTGAGGCAATATTTGCAGTACGCCCTGACTCGGATCCGATGGATAACCACTGGTTACCATAACATGGCTACAGTGCGTTTAGTTAATCGTTAGATTTACTGAATACAGCTGTAAACCTCTAAATTAGACGTGTAGTAGACGTAATAACTTCGACAGGACTAGTTTGGGCTATCCGTAAAGGTGCATAACTATGGATGGATGAGGCAAAAAGGCAAGAGGAAAATTTCGTTCCGATGTTTTCCAAATCATTGTTCGATAGTTAACTAGTATCAAATTCCCGCATTATGTGACTGCAATTTGTGGCACCCAAAAGTTACAAATTCTAGGTGAAACAATACAAAATGTTACTGATAACTGTCTGGCTTCCAATGTAAAATGTGGCCAACTACAGACCGGCTCATGCGTTGTTGCTTTTTAAGAAGTTTCGTAACACAAAGCTCAATCGAACCACAGATTTAATAAGCACCCATGACGAAGTATAGATCTCGTATTGATATCGTTTCACGTGATTCAGTACTTGACCGCTCAAGAACATGCAGTCTAAATTTATTTCGTCTACCACAATGTCAATTCCCCCGTTTCTTCTGCTGTCTGCGTAACGGAAAGCTGGAACCTTAGCATCAGCTGAAGAGAGACTTCAAATGTGAACGTGAGATAATTAGTGCATACTTTCAGTCAACCGATGTAGTGAACTCGGTTACCTATTTTCAGTGACAGTCTATATCTTAAGGTATAACCTGTCCTGGTAACTGCATAATGGCACAACGGTCGAAGCGGCAACAAACTTCAAAAAGGTTGGTTGGTTCACCTAAAGCTGCTGACTACTCTGAGTGCGGCGACATTGTACTCACTCCTGCTAACTTCATTCCGCATCGTTACCGCAGAAGTTCAAAGTTGTGCCTAGTGCATCAAGAGTTGTCCTTAGTTTCTTCAGTACTCAAGTGTGCTTCAAATGCATGTAGTTAATACATTTTCAGTCATTTTCCTTGACCGAAAAAGCGCTGAAACAGCACAACCTATTATAATTCTTGGTTGATAGAAGTTTAGGGCCACAACAAGGCACTACCATAACCTAGCAAGCTCGCCGGTCAATCGATACGATTAATGGAACACTCCGAACTAGCTGAACTATAGACCAACATTAATTGGAAGACCCAGTTTAGTGGAACTTGTAAGCCAGTTTGTTAGGGCGCGATATCTAGAACACAATCTATGTAAGGAATTTCGGAAAACGGCCTTATGGGCGCACTTCAGAACGTCAAATTGATGGCACACACAGGGCGCTATGCATTGTTCTGTGTAAAGAAGCGCTTAGATTGGCTTGTTCCAAAGTGTTGGCTCAAGTAAACCTGCTTGGGTAAAAATGTAGGGAAGATGACATCTACAAACTTAAATTGTTATCTTATGGTAGATAACTCCATCCCGAAACGCTGAACTTATATAAATATCTGCACAGATAGCTGCGACAAATAAAACAAAATATCAAGGTTGGAGAGTTCATTGTAACTGTGTGGATATGGTACAGAAAACAGAGTATGTTCAGGGGGTTAATCTGTCTCAACTGCCATTGGAAATGAAAGACTCTCCATCAACTGATCGACATGCTCTTGTAGCTTACCCAAGATGTCTGGATCAATAAATAAATGGTAATCATCCAAATCCGTATGAACAAAGTTTTTTCCCAAAACAAGATTTTCAGCCAAATGCAGCAGGAAGTGTTTCATCGCCGGATCACTACAAAATTGAATCAAGGGAACGACTTCCTACCACTTCACAAGGATTCCTTTGTGAACATTCACCATCGTACTCCGCAATTTGGAAATCACAGAATATATTGGGCCTACAAGAAAGAAATATGATTTGCCAATTAGACACCGGAGAAAAACGATATCCAGAGTAACATCCGTTGGTACGATCGCCGCTCCTCAGCAAACAGAAGCGATAATAACTGTGAAGACATCGTCAAATATCTCATGAGAAAGGCTTTCTAGACTTCGCAAGAAATACAGTTCACAATGAAAGCAAGTAAAACACACTGATCCTACCAAAAAAGATCAAACTCACACCGCGCAGCAGTAACACAAAATTCCAGAGAACTGGGTTATGATTCAGTAAAGTATGTTTCAGGACACAAAATGAAGAGCAAACGAATCACTTTCAACACATTCATTAACAGGCTCATACAAGTGTGAAGACATTAAACAAGCAGAATCAGACAAAAGAAAAAGGGAAAAACAATAGCATGCGGGACGAAGTTGACTACTTGTAGTAACGTGGTGGGTGGTGGAAGTTAAGGAAATTTCAGTTACGTTTATCCCTAACCCACTAGTTGTAACTGCAGATTTTGTGCTAGTTTGTACGGACTGTGACAATGGCAACTGCAGAACCCGTGAATACATTTTCTTAAACGAATAATGACGGACTGAATAAGCCTCTCCCTGTGGCCTCTGCAATGACTGACAGTTGCTGTCTGTACCCTTCCGACTGCTGTGTGAAACAGCAGGACTGAATGCTGTTTTCATATCAATCTGACAGCCAGCGTCAGAGAGGTGTGCCGACAAGAACCAGATATGTTGCTTCGAGTATTAGTTTCCAATGCAGCGGGGGGATGTTCGCAGAATCTTCTTCTTACAGCAACCTCTCTGTCCTCCGCTTAGAAGCGGGGGTAAATGTGAGGGAACACTGGGCTGGTCAACAGAGTGGTTTGTCCTTGAAACCGTGGACGCAAATCAGGCGGCTGGTGAGGACCAGTCTTTGGTGGACTGAGTTTTAAGTGTATACCTCCAACCTACGGATTCATATCCCGACCGATTTATCACCATCGGAAGGTCTTGGTGAAATTTTACCGGGATGCAATTTCAGCAATCAGCTTTAGGAAAGTAGCAACGGTATCGGCAAACCCACAATCTGACCGTGAGGCCACCTCATGTTTTCATGGTCATATTGGAGACCTCCAACTTTGGAGAGAGCAGGTGAGAGTTCGTCAGGGTAAAAAGCCCGGTGAGATTTGGAAGGAAAATGCATTTTCTCATTTCTAAAACCGTCGGTGGTTCTAAGTTCACCGTCGAGGGTTGCGATGCGGGTCGGGAATAGGGTTGAGCAACTGCAGGTGGCCGCTTGGATTGTTCTTGAAAGTATTCAGCCCTACGATTAAGGCACTCTTCTTTCTTACATACAAGCGGGCCTTATGAGATTTTTTCATCGGATGCCTTTTTCGGACTGCTGCGTACATCTTCAGAGTTTCTCGCCTCCTCTGTCTTGTCAGCTTTCAAGATCCGCTAAGCTTCGCGGTACCCACGGATGCTCCTTCTAACATGAAATCCAACACTGTCAAGTGGTATTGTACTCTCGACCAAGAGGAGTACGTGCCCGATCTTCCAGCAGTTTTAGTGTTGCTAGATCTAGTTGGTTGCGCCGTTCCACAGGCAAAGCGCACAGCCTCTAGCAGGGCTGCAAACAGCACCCTCCAGTAAGTCACCATCGAAAGTGCTATCCGAAAGGGACCTCAGTAGCCTATACTCGTAGACTTGTTCCCCATCAGGATCAGAGCTTCTCAATGTCTAGCATAGCTTTGCACATCATGCGAGCCCCCAAGGAGCGCCGCGAAAAGCAGCAACAAACAGATGTACGATCCAAACCCATATAGCTGTTCCAAAACAAGCGACAATCAGTAATTGTCCCACGCAACCAACAGATTATGGCGACGTGGTAGGTCTTTGTCGGACGTCAGCTCACATGCTGAGGACACCATGTAACCAAGCGGCTTTGACTGGTACTAAAGAAAAACAGTCTGAGGTAGGTATATGGACAGCATGACATCAGTGTTCAACACCTATGCTTCAATGCCGTACAAAGCCCTACAAAGCCTTACTGTAAAGAAAAGAATAAA